AAGGAAGAGAGGAAGGTAGAGAGGAGGAGGGGAGGGGAAGGGAAGGGAAGGGAGCGGGGAAGGATGGGAAGAAAGACCCACAGGCTAACTCCAATGTGCCCTCCTCTAAAAATTCTTCTCCAATTTCTTTCCATTGCTCTTTCCTAAATGCTTACAAAGCCATTATTTCCTATTTCATGTTTTGCAGTTCTGGGTGTCTGCTCTCAGGTCTCCCTCCCAGTTGGGCTTCTCCAGGGCAGAGACAATGGCTTTAATCTCTTCACCCAAGACAACATAGGTACTCCATAAATGACCATCAGTTTCAAATGCAAACGGATTTCTTTTTGATATTCACCTGGAAGAACAATGGTTAGACTGCAGAAATCCAAGAAGCAGGCCAATGTCAGGAATCCAGATGTGATACTGAAGCCAAAATGAGACAGGCAGTCAGTCTAGATAGGTAAATTGAGTCAGATCATCTCAAGGAGGCCAATTCTGAGTGAGTCCGGGAAGTTGGAGACTGTCCCCAGAGGGATTGAAATGTTAATTCCTTCAGAGCCCTTCCTCCACCCTTATCAAGAACCTGCCCCCGCTCCAACCTGTTGCCAAGGTAACCCAGGAATTGCCCTCCCTACAAGGAGCTATGAGATGGTTAATGTGTCCTTGGCTGCTCCATCCTGCTTTTCCCCCTTCAGCCCACCTGTTTCCTACCTGAGGGCCATTCCAGGAGCATTCCTGGGCCTAGTCAAGTATGCAGGAGGGAGAAAGATAAGGAGAAGAGGGCAATAGAACAAAGGAAGCCTAGGACACATGAAAATCTTTCTTCTTGGAATAGAAGGATACCAGCTATGGTCCCCTTCTCCCTCCCGGGTGATGTCTGTTACCTCTTTTTAAATAAATCCTGCTTTATATGCTTGCATCGTCATGCTTCTCTAATCTTCAAACTTCAACATGTGAGGAAGCAGAACTCATCACTGGTAACCGGGGTAACAATACCAAGAGAGCTGAGACCTCAGCACCTGCGGGGACCTAACCTTAAGAGATTATTGAATAAAGCCATCTCTTTCCAAGGAGTCCTGGGAAACAGGATTTGAAGTAGGATCTTCTGCCCTCTGGTGGCCATTTCACCTCATCGCGGTTTGTTGAAGAGCTTAGCTCCTCTGGTCAAAGAGAAGTTGCTGGTGCAGACTTGGAGGCTGACCTCCTTCTCCCTGGGCACAATGGTAACTACCCCCCGTAATTTTTGTAAAAAGAAATTAAAATTATAATTTCAACTAGACACCAAAATACAATAGGTGAAACTTCAAAGTGAGATATCTCATACAAAGAATTTCAAAGGAAATTTTTAAGAACCAGTTTCTAACCCCTTCAGCCAGATTAAAGACAGAAAAAGGAATTATGGTATGAAGGGGAAGCAGGGAGGAGGGATTTTGTGAGGGAAAAAATGGTGCCGTCATCCCCATCTCCTCCCTCCCATCTCCTCATGACCCACCCTGACAGCAGCCTTAGTGGGGACACTGGCAGAGGCGACCCCCAGAGCCGTGATTGTGTCACCTGGGGTAGGCAGCAGAATGTTCTGGAGTCTGAGTGCTAACAGAAGTTCAGGAGAGAGAGGATTGAGGAATCTCCCTGTGGGCACCTTGGGATTGCTGCTGAGACCCCCTGGCTCCCAGAGTTCACCTGGAAGGGGGAGAACAAGCTATGGCCCTGGAGAGGGAGGAGGTGCACCGTCATGGGTCCAGCTCAGGACCTGACTGACCATAGGGCCACCTCAAGGGACAAAAGGACCTTGTAGCTGAAGAAAGAATCTCAAGCTTCCAGAACAAAAGATGGCAGGTGAAGAAGGGGCCGGCAGGGGAGCCCTGAGGAGCCAAGAGATCCCCCCACCAGAGAATGGTCCCCAAAGAGTACAGAGTTCTGAGGACAGACTGGGTGGTGGAGAAGAAGGTTGAGCACCAACTGGCAACCCCACAGTCACCTGATCCATGGTTGTCTGTCTGCTCCGCACCCCTCCCACCCACCCCCATACCACCATCACCTCGGCCACCTCGGCCACCTCGGCCACCTTGCACTACTGCACACTCTGGTACAGCACCTATGAGAGGAGGAGAAGGGCTGGGTGGGGCCGAGGGCAGAGAGAACAAGACAGATAAGGGAGGCCAGTCCTTAGCCTTTTCCCACTGCAGGCTGCCACCAAAGCGGGGTCCCCTGCAGGCTAGAGAAGGGGAGTGGGGTGGGTCCAGGATTTGCATCATACATGAGCCCAGTTGTCCTAATGTCTGAACTGAGACTACGCCTTACCTGAGGCTCAGGGAGGAGGCTTCCCTAGGTTTTCACCCAAGAGCAAGGAAAAAATTACCCTTGCCCACCCCCCAGTACTGTACAGAGGATGGCGGGAAACAAGACCATGAAAACAGAATGCGGCGCCTCGCGTCCTGTGATCAAGTGCGACTTTTTAATTATGACAGGTTCTCATTGTGCATCACAAGGACACAAGAGTTTCCCTTCCAAGCCCCTCAGCCTTCTTTTCTGCCATCTAGAACTCGCTGGTCTCGTCTCTCCCCTCTTCACCCTTAGTGGCCTCCCCTTCAAGATCTCCTGAGACCCAGCCCAACCCCAACCAGGGCCCTCGGCTCTTCCTCCACTTCTTAGGGACAAGCGAGAGCTCCCGTGCCACTGACCTCCTGTGCCAGTCCCAGCACAGACCCTGAGCATCCCAGGGTCCTCCCTCTCCCTACCCTGTCGGGTATTGGCACCATCCATCCTGGGTGAATAGTGACTCAGGAAAATGCATGTCCACCCTGAACTTCAGAAGGCGAAAATGGGGTCTTTGCTGATGTATTTAGTTAAGAATCTCAAGAAGAATTATCCTGGATTATGAGTGGGCCCTAAATCTAATGATGGTGTCCCTATAAGAGGAGAGGACACAGAGCCTGACAGAGGAGAGACACCATGAGAAGCCAGATGTGAAGCCCGCTGTGGTGGCACCTGTAATCCCAGCAGCTGGGGAGGCTGAGGCAGGAGGATCCTGAGTTCAGGCCAGCCTCAATTGAGCAAGGCCCTAAGCAACTCAGCGAGACCCTGTCTCTAAATAAAATATTTTTTTTAAAAAAAGGGCTGGGGATGTGGCTCAGTAGTTAAGCACCCTTGGGTTCAATCCCAGTACCAAAAAAAAAGAAAAAGGATAAAAGTAAAAACTGAAGTTCTACTTGGATGAGTCAAGGAATGCCTGGGGTCATTAGAGCTGAAGACGCAAAGAAGGGTCCCTCCCAGAGTCTATGGCTGCTGACACCTTGATTCTGGACGTCCCACTCCTAGAACTGTGAGAGGATAACCCCTTGTTGTTTTAAACCACCCAGTTTTGTGGCACTTTGTCACAGTCCTAGGAAGTCATCTCGCCAAGGCTCACCTGGCAAGAGGAGTGTAAGGCTGGGGCCAGGCCCGGCGCCCTCCGGAGGCAGCCTGGGAGGAGTGCTGGGCTGTAACTTCCAAATGACCCCCCTCCCACCACACTCCCCTGCTGAGCAGCCCCAGAACACCTGGCATCTGCTCCCCAGCCATCTACAACAACATGCCCAGCCCAGGGGGCCCTTCCCTCCCCTCATTCCTACCACCTACCACCTCCCTGCGTCCTGTCCTGTGGCAGGGGAATTTTCCATCCTCCCACCCCCAAGTCAAAGTCATCAGATTTAATCATTAACAGGGCGGGTGTTAATTAGCAGGACTGGGTGATCGTCCACAGTCCACGTCCATGCTGATGAGGTCACAGCTGGACATCAAGAACAGCTGATCCGACAAAGGTGAGGAAGAACAGAACCCAGCTGAGAGGTGGAAGAGGTGTTCTCCTTATAGATACCTCCCTCCCCTCCCTCCAAGTACTGACTACATTGAAACCCCCTCCTTCGTTCCTGTTTCTGCAGGAGCCAAAGGAGAAAGTACCAGCAAATGCTTAATAGGTGTCAGACACTTCGGGACATGACCTCATCCCATCTCTCACCATTTATGATAGGGATGCCTGCTGTTTAAGCCAGTTCTAAGGCTGAGGAAATTGAGGCTCAGAGAGGGTAAGCAAATTGTCTAAGGTCACAGAGCTACTAAATGGCAGAGTTGGGACATGAGCCCAGGCAGACCACCACAATGAAGGGAACTGAGCGTGGAGGAGGAGGAACAGTGGATCTAAGCAGCCAGAGGTCATGTTGACCTCCTTCCTCCTTCCTGCTGCCCCTTAGTCCACAACGTCTCGTGCTTCCACTTTTGTAATAATCATGGCTGAAAATTACTTGGCAATCCCACTAGCCCCCTGACTCTGAGTAGGCTGAACACTGTCGCTGGATAGAAATAGTATCTATTTTGTGTTCCACTGTATTCACAGTATCCCTAGCACTTAGCATAATGACTGGCATATATGAATACCTGATCAGTATTTGTTGGGGAAAAAAATGAACCTGTTACAGAGTTGGGAAGGGAAGGGGCTAGCTAGAGGGACTGACTGGGTCTAGGGACTGGGTCTTCCAGAGTCTTGATCATACGATTAAAATGTATGTCCAGAGGCCCTCTGGGGGGGCTGGGGTTGTGGCTCAGTGGCACAGTTCTTGCCTGGCAGATGTGAGGCCCTGAGTTCAATCCTCAGCACTACATAAAATAAAAAATTAAGAGATTTTTTAAAAAGAGGTCCTCTGGGGGCTGAGGTTGTGGCTCAGGGGTGGAGCGCTTGCCTAGCACATGTGAGGCGTTGGGTTCCATCCTCAGCACGACATAAAAATAAATAAATAAGATAAAGATATTGTGTCCATCTAGCACTAAAAAATAAAAATAAAAATTTAAAAAAGAGGTCACCTGGCCCATGCCCTGCTCCAGGTCTAGCCATTGCCCCACCAGAGCCACCAAATCTGTGTCACTGGGAAAAGTGCTGGCCCAGCCTTGGTCCTTGGGAGAACTGCTGCTTGTCTGTAGCTCTAGGGGGTGGCGTAGGCTGAGGTCTCTTCCACCTCTACCAGCGGTATCTGTGGTGGTGAAGAGACAAAGCCCTGTGGAAATGAGCAGCCCGTCTGAATCAGCAGCTCTGGCCCCGTTCCCAAGAGCGCCAGCTGCAGGGGTGGTGAGCTCCCACGCCCGGCAGAGCTGGAGCCGTGGGCTTCTTCACAGGCCAATGGGGCCTTCTAACCCATCCCGGGAGAGGCCACGCATCCACCTCTGGTGCACCTGGAGCCCACAAGCAGCTCTGGAAACTTCTCCTGTGAGGCCCTGTAGGGTACAGGGCATCCACACTTCTTCCAGGCCAGGCCTGCCCCCCACCTGGCCTCCCTCCTTCTTCCCAAGACTTGGCCCTTAAAGACCCTCGGTCATTTTCCCAAAGAGGAAAACCACCCTAAAGGACAGAGATGCACTCCCCAGTGAGGCTTTTCAGAGCATATGCCACAAGCTCTGAGATGATTCCAAGAGTTTCCAGAACTGTTGGAGACACAGCAGCACCCTGGTACGAGCATATGGCTTCCCCGGTGGGGGGACCACTTGGATGGGGTCATTGCTCCTTTGGGGGTTTCAAAGCAGGCTGGAGTCTCACCTCCTCCGCAGAACAGTGTGTGAGCACGGGCCTGCACACCTGTGTTCAGCACACAGGAGTCTGCCTGGCCACACTGGCCTCCGGGGTTCTAACCCTGGTTTTGAAGCTTCCTGGCTAAGGGACCATTACATCCCTAACTCAGGGCAGACATAAAAATGCAAGGAAATCTGCAGGACACCTGGTCCCCTCCTTTTGTAGATGAGGAAACTGAGCCCAGCGAGAGGAGGGAGGTGTTGGGGGATCCCAGAGGCACCCAAGGACCTGGTAGCAGAGGCGGATGCTGAACCCAAATCCCTGCCCAGGTGGCCCATCTCAGCAAGGCCCCACGCTCCCATTCTGCCCTCAAAAAGTAAAATAAAGATATGAATAATACCTGCCCGCCCTCCCGGCTGGTTGTGAGAATTGGAGAACTCAGGCGTGGGGAGGTTAGCGGGGTGAGGAGGGGTAGATGAGCAGAAGCAAAAAACCCAGAGCAACCCAGAGTGGCCCCATTAGCCCAGAGCCCAGGCACGAGGGCAGGGAGAGTGGGAGCCGTTAAGTGACTGCATCAGCGAGTCCCATCCCTGTAACCTTAAATATTCATGGCCCCAGAGTGCGCCATAGAACAGCTGCTGCTCTGCGGCCACCAGGCTGTGGCTGCATCGGGACTTGCACACTCAGACACGCAAAGGCTGGCTTCGAACTCTTACTCACGCTAAGATGGGTTCCAAGTGCAGTGACAGGCCCTCTGCCACTCCCAGCCCGTGAGAGCAGCCCCCGCTTGCCGACACCCACACACCCAGCAGGCACGCTCAGTTACTCACCCGGCTCTGGGCATGAGTAAAGGTCAAAGCGACACACACACCTTCACAGACAGACACACTCCGCCACCACGACACCCTCAGATGCTGCTCCCCCCGCCCCATCTCCCCCTCCCAGGAGCTCTCTCCCCCTCTCTACCCTCTCCTCCTCTGCTCCACCCCGCACCAGCTGCTCCCAAACCCCCTCTTCCCAGGAAACCCCTCGCCAGCCATCTCTCCAATGCCTGAGTCTCAGGGCCCCTCTCCCAACCTGTGGCTTTCAGGACAAGGGGCTCTGAGGGTCTGGGCTTGAGAAGGGAAAGGTGAGTGTGAGACTTTGGGGGGCCTCTCCATGACCAGACCAAAGTTTGAGGGAAGGAAGAGAGCTGGGCACACTGGGTGACCTGGTACTATAGGCTGGGGGGTGTCTTCTGGAAAGCCTGGGACGGTGACATCCTGCCAGGAGAGAACCAGAGGGCAGAACCAGCAGTTATCAGTGAGCATGGACCTTCCAGGGGGCCAGGTAGCCACCTCACATGATCTGCCCCTGCCCCATGAGGCAGACACCATTCTGCCATTTTTTTTTTTTAACTAAAGAGATCCAGGCTCAGTGAGTCCACAAAGATAGGTGTGTGGGGATCCTGGATTCAGGTCCTGCTCTGTATGTGGCAGGAGGGGAGGTGACCGGCTGCTGGGTGGGCAGCACTGCCACCCTCTGCTTCCCAAGCCCTCCTTCATGTCCTGGGGGGGGTGCACAGACAGGGGACCTGGAGGACTGGGAAGCCCAACCAGCTGTTTGGGGGCAGACCCCGCTACCTTGACAGAGCAAAGGGACCCTGCAGGTGCCCACCTGGTAGAGGGAGGCACTTCTCTACCTATCAACAGCAGAAAGGGGTCACTTAACATGCAAGTGCTGGCCACAGCCTTCAGGGCCCACTGGGTCCCCACACCCCCAGCCTGGCAATGAGAAAACTGAGCCCGCCTGTGTAAAGAGATCCGGCCAGGGGAGGAGGCAGGAGAGGTTATTTTGGGAGGTAAGAGGGGAAGGGGCCATGTGAAATCCCCACCAGGAGAGAAGGCCACTGAGAGCTGAAGCTGACCCCTTGGAGGACCCATGGTCCCGCCCGCCCCAGGAGAACCAGCTGTAAATCCGTAAGGAACTTGCCAGTTGCTTGGCTTAAGTTTAAAAAGAAACAGATCTCCTGGAAAGCACTCCCTCTCCCTCCTCCTCCCCCCAATTCTCCCACTTCATTCTCCCTCCCTCTCCAAACCCCAGCACCTCCCCTCCAGCTGTCCAATGATCCCCAGCCCCTAGCACAGGGCACATCAGCTCCTATGAATATACTATCTCCCTCATTGGCTAGTATTGATTGGCATCTTGGTCCTACACCAAACCAGTAAGTTCTTCACATAGTCTAACTTCCATGCCTTCAGTTACAGCAGATCATTTTCATTATTCTGCCAATAATGAAACTGGAAACCAACCCGGCCTGTAAACAAGCCACCCCACCAAAGGAGTCTTCCTTTCCATCCCTCAGCATTCTCCCTTTGCAAGCCTTTCACCCACTTAAGATCCCCATAATTCAGCAAGCCGAAAGTGAAATCTATTTCACAAGCATTAGCGGCTCCCCACCCCCATTACTCCTTCTGCCGAGCCCCAGATGGTCCTCTCTCCCCAAGCCCTCCACCCACTCCCTTTGGCACTTGAAGAGAGGCTCCCTCTGAAGACCTTCTGGGGCCTTCAACTCCTTCTCCCTGTTGCTGAGTGAGCACTGGACAGGGGTCTAGACCTCCCCCCCCACTTCCCCTCCAAGAGTTCACCTCCACTCGAGGGTTTTCCTCTCAGAGGAAAGTTCCTCTCCAAGTCTAACCTTAATTCCTCCTGCTGCAAGCCTAAATTCCCTTTCCATCTTTTCTCCAAGGGATCATTCCCTTTGGATTAGAAATGAAATCCTCCTCTCGAGTTTGCAGCCTTCCCTCCCCGCCGCGCCCCTCCACTTTCCCAGACCCTCAAACCTGCCCCAGCATGAAAAAGTTCTTGGTAACGGCTCCCTACACCCACTGCCTGCTCTGAACTCGGAAGATACCTGGGTATCCGCCCCGGCTGTCAGTCGCCCAGGACAGTGACCCGGCCACGGAGTGGCTCGCTCGCCCGGAGGCGGTGACCCCCGCAGCCGCTGGCGCAGCCACGACGGGGTTAAGGCTCCGGGCTGGGGGAGGGGAGGGGGCCGGGAGGGGCGGGTGCGGAGCCAATCGGCGGCCACCGAGTCCCCGGGGCGGCGAGCGGGGAGCGCTGAGCCGGGAGCCGGAGCCGAGCGCGCCGGGCTGGGGCCGGGGCCGGAGCGCAGCGGAGAGGGAGCTGCCCGCCCCAGCCCGAGTCCCGCCGCCGTCCCCCCTCCCGCGGCGCGGGCCAGCGGCCGCCGCCCCAGCCATGGAGCAGGACCACAGCCCCCGGAAGATCCAGTTCACGGTCCCGCTGCTGGAGCCGCACCTGGATCCCGAGGCGGCGGAGCAGGTGCGGAGCAGGGCGGGGCTGCAGGGGACTCGCGGCCAAGGACAGGGACCCCTTGCCCCGGGGGCACCCAGGGTCCCCGCCTCGTCCTCGCGGCCGTGCGCCCTTAGGAGGGTGAACGCGCTCAGTTTGGGGGTCTCCTGCCCCCTCCCCCACCGTCGGAGCCAGGTCGCCCATCAGGGCTTCTCTGAGCTGGAGCGAAGGACGAGTGCGTCCAGGCTCTGTCCCCCAGAGTGTGGCTCCCTTCCTCCCCAGCCCTGGGGGAGGGGGCCTGCCCGAGGACGCGACCCCTCCCCCCTTCGGCAAGCTCGCGTCCCCCACCCAGGCAGCCCTCGCCGGAGTTCCTGAGCTGGGTGGCGGCGCCCAGGGTGCCCACAGCAGCGGGGAGGGAGGGCAGGGCGGGGGTCGGTAATGGAGGGAGCCTGGTACTGTGGGAGTTGGGGAAGGAGGAGCCGCTCTCCCTGCCTCCTCCTAACTGGAGCTCCGGAGAGTGCTAACGGGAAGGGGCTGAGGTCACCCTGAGGGCCCGGGGCTTAGGGGACAGGGCTGGGAGGTCCGCAGACTTGAGGCTCCCTTCTGCGAGGTTTGACACGTGGGTCCTGATTCCCAACTCCTGCCCTTGGCAGCGGGGCCAGTGTAGAGGGAGTGACACTGTGGGCCAAAGGTGGTGCCGCTTAGGGACCGGGGTCCAAACTGAGCCATCCTCGAGGCACTGTGCGGGCCTTGGCTCAAGGGTGGGAGTCCAGGGCCCTGGCCCAGCCTCCTGGCCTGGGCTATTTTTAGCTCACGCAGCCAGGCAGAGGCGGCAGTGTGTGAGTGGTGTCTCGGGGAGAGCAGGCGGGCGTGTGTGGAGAGGGCTACTACCTGCCGTGGGTGGCCAAATATTTGCGTATTTGCCCATGGCTCCATCTCCTTTTGTGATCTCTGTGCATTCACACGGACCTCCCCATTCCTAAGACTATCCAGTTCCCACAAGGTCAATGCTCTGCCCCAGCCAGCTACCAGGTTCTGGCTAGGCCCCCTACTGAAAAACTTGGGGACCCCTTGGGACCCGCAGGAGAGAATAGTTTTGTTGCTGCCCCCGCTGTTTGGTAAAATAAGATCCAGATGTGAAGGGAAAGGCGGGTACCTCTCTATAACTAGCTTCCCAAAGATGGGGTGCAGTAGGTGCCCTCCTCCCTGGCCAGGGTGAGCCCCTCTGCAGACCTCTAAAGTGTGACTGCAGGAGGGACTGTGGTGAGACCTTACAGACTGAGGATGTGGGGAATGAGGAACCACTAGCATGGTGAGCATTCCCTTGTGGTCAGGAAATAGGCTTTTCTGCCCAGAGACAGGGGACTGCTAAAATACCTCCTCCTAATCCAGGAAAGAGTCCCAGGAGTGTGGGCGGGGGGGGGGGGGGGCAGTCCACACAGCACACCTCCCACCAGACAGGCCGGACACCTGCTCCTGTTTGGTGTTGGAGGAGGCAGGTGTAGTAGTGAGGAGGGAGGGGCAGGCCCACTGGTTTGGGGACTTAGGGGGCAAGGGAGGAACACCAGGCAGTCCAAAGAAGCCAGAGGGGAAAGAAGAGCTGAGACTTAAGTCTGCTTTTCTCTAATCTTCAGAACTCTGTGTTTCCCCAGCCCTGAAATTCGACCTGCAGACCTGGCTCAGCCCCTCCTGCTGTGTTACCAAGTGTGGAGGCAAAAAGATCCAGAGGGGGCAGGAGAGCCTAACCCAGACCCACAGGGAGGGTGAAAGGAGTTGGGAGTTCTGAGTTAAGGAGGATGAAGTACCTGGAGGAGGAGGTGGAAAAGTGCCCCAAACGACCAGAACTTTGGCATGATGGGTTTGAAAATAAATAAGGGGAAGTCACACATACTGTTGGTAGCTAGGATTTGAGATGGGTACCAAAAAACAAAAGTGGCCATCTACTCGTTTCCTAATAGTTCAGGTGCCTGGGAGGTGCCTTCAGAAGTCTGCCTTTCCTCCCTCCTGCCGTTCAAAGTTCTCAAAGATATCAAAGTTCTCAAGGGCTCTGAGTGCCTCAAAATCTTGTCCAAGGCAAGGAAATAGGTTAAGTAAAGGGACCCATCCAAGATCACAAAGCCCTGCTGCCCTTTCAAAGACCATTTTTTTACTTGAAGTCACCTTGAGCTCCCTGTCTGTTCCACCACTCCCCAACCCCAGGACAGGAAAGAAATTGAGGAGTCCTCTCCTAGTTAAGGTATGGTCTCCACCCAGCACGTCCATGAAGCACCTGTCAGACATGAATGTCAGGCAGCCTGTCTTCCACCCACCGCACCAGAAACAGCCAGAGACAACTCACAGTTAATGTTTGTGCATGTGTATACACACACCACACACACACACACACACACACACACACACAGGACTCAGGCTGCCAGGGACCTTGAAATGTCACTAAAAACAGATGCTACTATGTTCTCGTGGAATGATGCCTTTCCCCCACAGACCATCATTCTGTGCTGCTACCTTTTCTTTGGGGAAAACAGGCTAAACAGCCCCTCTTGCTGTAGCTGGTATCCACTTTCTAGACACAGAGAAGGGCACTGGTCTACCACCCCAGCCTTCACTGCCAGAGGTAATGATACTGAATAATGGACACACAAAGATAGGGGCTTGGTCATTCATCCTCACCCCGCTCCTCTGAGCCCTGCGTAATTTTAGCCCCTTCCCCAACCCCATTAGCCTTTTCTGCCCTCTGCTACCCCATTGTTTCACTCTCTTCCAACCCTCTAAAGCATTCCAAGAAGGAGAAAAACTACACATCCCAGGAGTCCTCAGACTGACTTCAACAATAATCAACTTTATTGACAGCAGGACAAAAGTACAGCAGCGGGTGGTGTGGTTGGGGGTTGAGGGGAACTCAGAGACTCAACAGTCAATCAGCTTTATATGTTTATATCTTAGAATGGGACCTTGAACCCGGGACAAGATTTTTTAGCTAACCTCTAGGCCTTGACAAGGGTCCTATATAGGATTCCACGGCCAGGGGACTTGCACATTCACACCATCCCTCCTGGAACTAATCTCCCCGACTGCGCTGGCCTGAGGCATGTTCCCTGCAGGTGCTGGCCCGCAAACAGTTAATCTGCTTGAGGGGATAGGATGGGAGGCTGAGGGAAAGCCCTGTGCCCTCTCAGGTTATTTCTGACCATTGATCCAGGACGGACGGAAGGACAGCAGGCCAAGATCGATGCTTTAGAGAGATAAAGCTGCTGAGCTGAGGCAGGACCAGGGGGAGAGAGACAGACAGAACAGGGGGCTGGGGATCTTGTAGGGAGCAGAGGTGGTCTTTTGGGTTGTCAGGAGTAGTTCTCCCCAGAGGAGGGGGATGGGTCCAAGGATGTCTGCCCTACAATAGTGGGTCAGTATAACATGGCACTTTTTGAGGTAGGTTAAGTGAACTGGCCTGCACTATGTTTCTCAATGGCTTTGAATGAGGCTTAATACTTCCATGTGCATTTGACCTCTTCCTTCTCTCCCACCTTCCCCCAGATTCGGAGGCGCCGCCCCACCCCAGCCACCCTTGTGCTGACCAGTGACCAGTCATCCCCAGGTAAACCAAGGATGGGTCACTGAAGGAACTAGGGGCCACTGCAGACAGCAGGGTTCTGGTGAGAGCAGATGGGTGCTAGGCAGAAGGCAGATGTGAGGAGTCAGGGATCTCCTTGTCCTAAGGAAGGGAAGTGGTAGCTGGACAAGCAGAATATCCTTTTCTGGAGCAGTGCAAGGAAGGAGAGGGGGACCACCTGGTTCCCAAGCCCCTCAGGAATTGGGATGGTCAACTGAGGGCTGGTTGCTGCGGCAACAGTTTTCCAGGTTTCTCCAGCAACTGAGATGTGCTGCCCCCACCCCCAGAGGCAGTGACAGCTGTGAGGGGGAGGACCCGCCTCCATCAGCTATCTTCATGGCCCCCAGAGGGGAAGGGGAAGGTTAGAAACAGTCAGGGAGCAGCTGGGATTCTGGCCACCAGTGTCCCCATCAAGGTCTGGGGAGAGATCAGGGTCTCAAAGAATGTCAAGGGAGCTTGACAAAGGACTGAAGAAATGGTGGCCAGGCTAATGAGCTAGCCTAGAATTCATGATGCTGGGGTCTCCACTTTCCCTCCACCCGTCAAAATGATTGCACTATCCTGGAGCCTACACAGAACAAAGTCACTGTTCTCTACAGATGTGCCTTCCCATGCAGGGCTCAATTCAGGCCTTGGGGTGGGGGAACAGTTGGAAGAAAGAGACATGGATACTTCAGAGGGAGAGACAAAGCAAGAAGACCACAATTTCTGCCTTCAGGAACCTCAAGGGCTGGGCAAGGATGTAGGCACAGATGGGCCACAGAGTCAAGGATAGGACTAGATGCACAGGACAGAGCCAGCCAGAAGGACAGAAGGGGAGCTAGAGGGAGCAGACCAGCTTCCGGGGGGCAGATCAGGAAGGGGGTGATTTCAGAGTCCTTTCCCCTTAGATGTCAGATCTTCAGGGTCCCCTGGATTTCCTGTCCATATCACCTTTTCCTTCCCCTTGTTCCTCTCAGAGGTAGATGAAGACCGGATCCCCAACCCACTTCTCAAGGTGAGCTGGCCCTGCTTACTAAGCCCAGCCCAAAGAACCTTCAGAGGCATTAGGGGATTCTTCCTCCAAACTCTAATACTCTAGATCTTGCTTGGGAGGTAGCTCAGTGGTGAAGTGCTTGCCTGGCATGTGCAAGACCCTGAATTCAGTCCCCAGCCCTGACAACAACAACAACAACAAAAAACACACTACAGAATCTTTGACTCTGTCTTCCCTGCAGTCCCCTAAAAGTGCCCAAGTGGACCTGAACCCATGCCCCTGCATACAGTGCATGCACACACACGTGCACGCGTGTGCGCACACACACACACACACACACACACACACACACCATGTCTTACTCACCATGGTAGAAGCAGCTGGGAAGCAGGAAATTTCTTCCCCCAACCCCCCGCCCACTGCCCTTTCTGAAGCCCATACCTAGCCAGTAAGGCAGAGGGGGAGGGTGGGAAGTGCTGACCCCCATCTGTGCTCTGTGTCCTTCATAGTCCACTTTGTCAATGTCTCCACGACAACGAAAGAAGACGACAAGGACCACACCCACAATGAAAGGTTCGGCAGACCCTTCCATCCCTCTTTGCCCCTCTTTGCCTGAAACCCGGGAGCAGACTCAATGACCCTTTGGAAGGAGTGCTTGAGAGGTCACTGAATCTACTTTAATTAGATTGGAGCTATTGCTAGGTGTCCTGGGCTTAGACCCTTGCTCTGCCACCATCTAGCAGGTGACCTTAGAGAAACTGCTTAACCTACCCAGCTCTGAATGCCACCTCAGTATGGCAGATAAATAATATATGTGAACTCATCAGCATAGTGCACAGCACAAAGAAGGTACTTAAATTATTTCCTGAATCCAAATTGAGTCTTTTCTCCTGCCCCAGGGGAGACCAGACAGCCCAGCAAGCTAGGAGTATCTGTCTGGTATCCTTAAAGACTCTTCCCCTGCGCCTCCCTTCCCTTTGGAAGAAGGGCTTTCTGTGTTCTAGCTTGTATTTCTCCCTATTGCCCAACTAATGTCCCTCCTTGTTCAGATCTCAGGGAATGGGAAAGTCAAACACCCAGCAATGTGTCACCAGTCCATGAATGGGGCTGTTGGATCAGGGGCTACAGGGGAGTTTCTGGGCAGTATGTCTAACGCTGCCTCCCTTCCTATGTGCCCCCAGAGCTCCAGACGATGGTTGAACATCACCTGGGGCAACAGAAGCAAGGAGACGAGCCTGAGGGAGCCGCTGAGAGCACAGGGACCCAGGAGACCCGCCCACCTGGGATCACAGACACAGGAGCAGAGCCACGCCTGGGCACCTCTGGGACAGCACAAAGTATGTGCGCAGGCCAGGGAGGGCCCCAGGCATCCTGTCCCCCAGCCCTGCAGGAGGCACACCTTATCTACTGGGGGAAGGGAAAGAGTTGGTGCCTGGGAGGGCTCTCACCTAGCCGAAATTGACCACAGGGCCATGGATGTCTGTCCACACATTGCGCATATTTGAATCCTCGCCTTTCCTTATCATATGACGGAGCCCTTCCAAGTTGGACCCCAGAGGTCCCTGCTGTGGCTGGACGGGAGAACCCACACAATGGGAACACCACTCACAGGCTAGAATCCTGGCTCTGCCACTTGCCACTTTACAGCTAAGAGGCTTTGAGCAACTCAATCTCAGTCCGTAAAATGATAATGTGATAATGATGGTCCTATTTCATTGGGTTGTTGTGAATATTGAAATGAGTCCGATTCTTAGCTTAGCACCTGACACATACAAAGCCTGCAGTAAATGGCATCTGGTGGCAGTGGTGTTAATCCATGTCCACAGTGCCTTTTCCGACATGAATTCCCAGAATTCAGAAGTTTTCCAATTTTGTGAAAGTGATACAATGTGTGTGTGTGTGTGTGTGTGTGTGTGTGTGTGTGTGTGTGTGTGTGTGTGTATATATATACTGTATGTTATATAATACATTATAACCAAACATCAATATCCTATACTCCAAAGCATAGTCTTACTAATTGGGATACATAAAGACTAAAAATAGCCTCATATCAGTTTAGGTCAGCTTTAGCTACATCTTAAGCTTTTATCCCAACTTTTTTTTTTTTTTGGATTGGGGGGCAACTGGGATTCAACTAAGGGGCACTTTACCACTAAGTTATATCCCCAGCCCTTTTTTTATTTTTTATTTTTTTTTATTTTGAGACAGGTTCTTACTAAGTTGCTGGCGCCTCCCTAAATTGCTGCCTCAGCTTCGCCAGTTGCTGGGGATCGCAGAGAAGCACCACCAGGTTCACTGGTTTTTTGTTTTGCCTTTTTTTTTAATCTACTCTCAGAAATTGAAAAAACAAACTCTAAAAAAATGTTTTTAACAGTTGGGGTACAGAGTAGGGTTCCGTGGTGCACGCCTGTAATCCCAGCAATTTGGGAAGCTGAGACAGGCAAGTTCAAATCTGGCCTCAGCAACTTAGCAAGACCTTGTCTAAAAATAAATAAATAGATAGATAGATAGATAGATAGATAGATAGATAGATAGATAGATGGATAGATAGTGAGCCTATAGCAGTAATTGTGATTAGAGAAACTCCTGTTTTGGTCTTTCTAGTTTGTTCCTAGCTTGGTCTTGAGCCCCTTTCAGGGATCACTGGGCCAGAGGATGCAGTGAGCAGAAGCAGTCCCTTCTCTCCAAGGCCTTCATAAATGCTACCTCACCTCCCACCTCCCATTTTCCCTCTTTAGAGCCTGCAGAACCCATCCCTAAAACTCAGGAGCGTTGCAGTGAGAAACCCAGCACCCATATACCACCATTGGATTCCCAGGGAGCCAACTCGGTAAGAGCCCAGGGCTGGGCCACCAGGCCTACAGGAGAACAGGCTATGTACATAAGGGCAAGAGGCTAATATCTGGAATCAGAGAAGGGGGGAAGCAAAGGACCAGCTTCTGTCACCGAAGTTAGCCATTAGGGCAAAGGAGTTGCATCTCCTCTGACAGACAAATGAAGAGAAATGGGATTAAGCTGAAACAGGAGGGATTGAGGTTAGACTTTGTGTCGGATTTTTGGCTCCTGGAACAGGTAATAAAAGTGGATCATAGATTTTTTTTCATCAAGGGCATTTGGAATTCAAATAGAGACTGTCACCTGCCCACACTGAGTGGACAGCAGCCCTACCTGAAGGTAGAGGCATTGCCAAGACAACCTTTTGGCAAGGGACTGAGACTTGTGACACCAGAGCTAGCTTCCTGAGAAGTGGATGTTTGGGTGGGCCAGAGGGAACAAGATGACCCTCTGGCCCCTCAGTCACCTTCCCTTTCTGTCCCTTTCCCCACAGCAGGTCTGAGAGGAGGAGGCATCCTGGACCCACAACTGCAGTTTGACAATGCATGGACACTGGATCTGTTTCTTATTTCTTCACTTTTGGGAAAAATCTCTTGTTTTTAAAAAGTGATAAATTTGGTGTTAGGTCCTTGGCACTTTCCTTCTTTCCAGGCTTGGGGAATCCTTCTCCCTCCCCCACTCCTGTCTGCCCTCCTACATCCCCCACCACTTCACCAGCTGCCTCTGGGTGAAGGAAACACAGAAACTGGTCAGAAGCCTTGAGAGGGGAATCCTTCCCCTTGACTTGATGTTGGAAAAGACAAGGGTCTCAGGTACAAGGTATACCTTCCGGGTTCCCAAGAAGGAAGGACAGCCCCTGGTTCTTTTTTCTCACTGAGGAAAGATCACGCCACCTGGCAGGGGTGCCCTGCTGCTGAAAAGCATGGAGCCTAAAGCCTGTGCCCTTGTCCAGCAGTGACTGGGTTGCAGGCGCCATCTGCTGGACTGAGTGGGAAGTGCACTCTGGCTCTTAGCTCATGGAAAAAAGAGGCATTTATTGATGCGTTCCTCCTCGGACAGTGAGACAGACCACCAGCCCTTATTCCAATCTATTAACAAAAGATGGATAAAGAGACCCTGGAGGGGAAGTAAAGAGTCATCTCTCCCTTGTTCTAGGGACTGAGGGGCCAGAGTTAAACAAAGACCAAGCATAAGTGAAGAAATGTCCTCTGATCCCACAGACAGACCTCTCCTGCCACTGACTTTGATTTTCCGGGGTAGTAGAGAAGAGAAAGAGAAAGAAAGAGAGGAGATGATCATTCTTTTGCTCTCCTTGCTGAAGCAGCAGTGTTGTGGAGAGGGAAAAAGGGCACAGTTTGGGAGGTATAAGCTGAACCCTGAAGGCCCCTCCTGTGCCTCTGATGAGACCTCAGCTCTGGGTGTCCCTCAGCTCACGCTCAGGGGGAGCACCCCACCAGCATCCCATCCAGCACATGATGAAGCTCCACCAACTTCCACCCAGTGAACACAAACACAGCCAGGCCCAGTCTCCCTTCTTTATTGATCTCTGGCTATAGCAGGGGCCAGGGAGACCAGGGCAGGGGTGAGTCACATGCGTCTCTCCCCACTCAGGGTGGGGTGGGAAGGGCAAGTTTCAGGGTGGCAGGTCTGAGAGACCATGAATATGGACTTCACAAGAACAGGGTCCACTGTACAAATGCATGAGTGGTATCTACAAGAAAGGAGGAGCCAGTCACCTGGACTTTGGCCTTTCCTGGGGCCAGGTGGGGGGGAGAGGAGCCTGAGGAGAGGAAGGGGCACCGGGCCTGGCTGGGCTCTCCCCAGAGGTTATGACAGCAGTGGCCTTGACCCCACCCCCACTCCCACTGTCTGCCTTCTACCCACCAAGGTCCCAGGGAAGGGGTCTTCTGGTGCCTGCGGCTGAGCCAGTTCTGGGAGATGGAGGGAGGGGAGGGACCCTCTCTGTTAGTAATACAGGATTCTTGGATTACAGCTCACCCTCCCCACATGCCCTGAACCCCAACCCAGCTGGTCTCTCCTGCCTGTGCTCAAAAATACACCCTGAAGGTGCTTTGCTGTGGAGACCTCAAAGCACTTTACAGACATTGGTCGGATGGGAGCCTCCTAGCCCTGGGGACAGGAAGGAGGCAAAGGGCTCAAGACTTGGCCAGGGCAGGGCGTAGACAAGCCCCCAGCTCTCGAGGCCCTCAGGACAGGCCTCCCCTCAGACCTTGGCCCCCATGGTTCCTCTCTTCCCCCAGTTACCATCTGGGCATGAGAGAGAGAGAGAGGATCACAGGGAGTCAGGCAAGAGATGGGGCCAAAGCAGTGCAAGTGTGGGTCAAAAGGATCCCACCCCACCCCTGTCCAAAAAGGGGACCATGCCCTGAAGGAACCCCCTCCCCTTCCTGCACATAGGGCTTTGAAAACCCCCAGCTTTTTATGCTATTCTAGCCCTTCCCAAGGGAGGAGAAGGGGAACCCAGACCTGCCAGCTAAGATCTGGGGTGGGGGACTGAGGGAACCCCCAAAATGTATTGCTTAGAAACTTGGAGGCAAAAAGGATAGGGGAGGGCCCAGGGGGCTGGCATCTCTGACCCTCCCCTTTAGGCCCTGGGAAGCCTCCAGGAAGCTCCCCCCTTCCAGGTAGCCATCCGGCCACGAGGGGAGCCCAGAGGCAGGGGGATGGGCACAGTGACCACTGGGAGCCTGAAGTTCCCCAGTTTTGCTGCTGGGAAATTAAAGTGCGCCCCAGAGGGTGTCAGATGGGGAGGGGCCCTTCCCCCAACCCCACAATCTCTGGCATTTGGCCTTCTGGTGGGTTGTCTCTTCCATGACCTCCATGCTCCCTGGGAGCAGATGGGGGAGCCAGTCCCGATGGATGGTGCTAATGACATCAAACACTTCAGACTCGGTGAGGACCTGGGGAAAGAGGGAGAAGCTTCAGTGCTCTGGTCTTTGCCTTCATCTCCAGCCCAACCTGCTCCTCCAGGTCCTGCCAGATCCCCACTGGTCCCAAGTACAGTTGTACAAAAATGCCCTTCAGAATCGAGCCGGCTGAGGGTATGAGCTGGGCTGAGATGGAAGTGGGGTTTACCTGACCTCACCAAGCCTGTACCTCAGTGGGTGCGCTGTCCCTAACCCTCTCAAAGCCTGGTGCGGGTGCCACCCTGCACAGTTCTGCCCCTCCTTCCTGCAGGGACTGTGGGACCAAAGAGGGTGGAAGTATTTCCCATCTCCTACCCCTTTGCCCTGTGCCTTCACCTCCTCCACTTTATTGCCGGAAATGAGGACAGGAGAACCAAGAGGCCTCCACCACCGGCTCACCTGGGCCAGCCGGGGCTAGTCCAGATTCCCATTCTGGTTGTGTTCGTCTTCTGCAGGGGAGGACGGGGTCTCTTCTTCACAGGGGGACAGCTCATCAATGGACATCTGGTTGGTGATGCCTGCAGAGGGGTGCAAAGGAAGCCAAGTTTAGACCAAGAAGTATTTTTTCCCCAAGAAAAAAAGTATGAAGGAGAAAATTTTTTTTAAAAAAATAGGGAATTCTCACCCACTGCTCTGCCTCCCAGCTGAGCTCCCCTCTACCCATCATCCTTGGAAGATCCTCTCTAGCCTTGCCAAAACCCACAACTCCCACCCCGCAAGGAAGAGCCAGAGCCACCCAGTCACCCAGATCTACAGAGGCACACATCCATTCTAGAACAACCCAGACCACTCAGCTAGTCAACCTTTCCTGTGACCTAACTTTAGTCTAATTGGCTCCTTTCCCAACTCCAGGGGGTGAGAGTTGCCCCAGGGCTTACGAAAGCCTAGGCCTGCTGTTGCTCCCTCCGCCACCAGACAGGCTCACCCCCCACATGCAAGGCCACCCACCACTCGCTGCCCGTTCCTTCCACTTCTGTTTGTTCTCCTGAATGTACTTGGTCCAGGTGGCACGGAAGCTGACCACGTCAGGGTTGGGGTCTCCCACCTCCACGTCCAGAGAAGGCTGGCGCCACTGGAAGCTGGGAACAGGACCCCACCCCAGATCCGGAAGTTAGAACAAGCCACTCCAGTGGCACCTTCACGGCCCTCAGAGCGGAACGGAGGAGACCAATGGCCCAGAGGAGGCCTAGGATCCAGGTCCTCTTTCCCTCTACTAGGCCCGCTGCAAGTCCCTGTCCCTCACCCCCCAGTGTCACCCCTCCCTCTCCACGCCTTCTCTTTGGAAACAAAGACTACTGGGAAAGCAGTAAAGACCAAAAAGGAAGAAACAAAAATGTGGCGAGGTGCAGGGTACGGTCCCAGGCCCTAGTCCCATCGTCCACCCCGTGGCATGACAAGAGGCAGACGGGCTCCAAGCTTGGAGTAGGCTCCTCCCCTTGGCCCTGCCACGGCTGGACCTCATCCTCAGGAATTAGTCCTCCACACATCCTCCCCCAGAACCAGGAGACCCGCTTACTCCAGCCCCCCTCACCTGGGCTGGTTTTTAGACTTGGAGTCATCATCCACCAGGGGCTGGACACTCTTCTCTGCCACATCGGTCAGCACAGAGAACGTGGGCTCCACAATGAAATCAATGAAACCTGCAGGCAGGACAACAGAGGTGTCCTACCTGGAGGGTGGGGCAGAGGACACAGCTGACACGGCCATGACCCCCAGCTGTAGGTGGAACAAAGTGGGAAGGTAAGGGGGGGAGGGGCTGGAACATTCCCAGGGTGGACAGACTTTGGGATGATGTCTATGTGAGCCCAGAGAACTACTCCTGCCATTGCCCCCCCACCCCCGCCCGGCCTCCCATGGCGGAGCCCCATGCTGGAGCGCAGAAGCAGCCCTGCCTCTGCAGGAGGAGTGGTTCAGGGGTATTTAGGGACTTGAAGAAATCTTGGCCCAGGCCCACGCAGCACCCTTGACCCTTGCTGATGCACCCACTTCCTGCAGCAAGGCACTCACCAATCTGAGACTGCGCCACCAGAGTGGACGTGCGATCGCAGAGTGGTGAAAAGGGCAGGCCCAGCTCTGCCTCCTTGTCTCCCTGCGGGGACAGGACAGATGGGGAAGCTTGGAGAGAGCGCCTCAGCCCTACCAGAGTGGTGTGTAGCTGGGACGGTAGGGGCTTTGGGAGAGCAGGGAGTTTCTGTGCCTGGGACCTGGGAGTGACTGATGTGCAAGGGAACGGAACTACGGCAACCACCGTGAAGCTGTGAGGATGGAGGAGTTTATACCCCAGGTTCAGGATGAGGTCAGCAGCAGAAGGTGGCTGAACCATCTGGAGCAGGAGTAGGGAACTTGCAGAGTGAAAGCCACGAGAAAGCCCCCATGGGCAGAGGGTGGCCAAAGATGCCATTCTACCTGGCGGAAGAATTCTTCCATGAGGGCTTTGGTCCAGCGGCTGTGGACTGACCACTGCTTGGTAGGATGGCTGATGTCAGCAGCATGGAGCAGAAGAGACAGAGCCTTGGACTTGTCGATCCTGGGTGGGGCAGGTGTCAAGGAAAGGGAAACTGATCTTTTAGGGAAAGGAAACCTGGGCCATTGCCAATCCTATGCCCTCTCCCGGACCCATTCAAACACATCATTTCACATAACTCCAAACACCTTCTGAGCTGCACACACACACACACACACACACACACACACACACACACCTATATGCGTACAGGTAGTAGCACAGGCTGGGAGTGGGAAGCCAGGCTCCTAGAATCTAAGGGCCTGGGTTTGAATCCCCCAAACCCACAGCACACTAGCTGTGTGCCACGGAGCCAGTTACTTAAAATTTCCGTATTTCATTTTCTTCCATTCTAAAATGAAAATAACTCTACCACATGTTGAGTTGTTCTAAGAATTAAATGACATACAACAAATAAGTAGGGAGAAGAGTGTCTGGCACATAATAAATGCTCAGTTGATGTTATTTATAGTGATAATCATTATTATTATAGTACCCCCAACAATGACCCGCCGTGACACTGTACACTCTCCCACACAGAGCGTACACAGAGATAGGCACACACGTTCAGGGAACACACAAACATATTCTGTTCTCTTTTACATTTAGATACGCCCCACTTCTAAGCAGCACTAGATGTAATTTTAGCATTTGGTTTGTCCTGTTTGGGGTTTTTTTGGTTTTTTTCTTAACCTCACACGACTCTCCCAGTGGCCCTATTAAAGCAGGAGCTAGTGGCAAGCGGATGTGGTGAGAAGTGTATCATTATATATAAAATGGACTTGTCGATATATCATTATATATCATTATATATAAAATTTTGCCATTTCAACGATGAGGACGCTGGATCCGTAAGAGTTGAGCGAGTTTCCCAACACTGTGGAGGAAGCCCATCCTCGGGCTACTTGGACTCCAGGCCAAGTGCCCTCCAGCAGGTCAGGTGACCAGCTGCCCGCAAACCCAGGGCCACGGTCAGACATGCCACACGCACTCTCACACAGGGATACACTCAGGAAGAAGGCTGGAGCCCGCAGAGTCTCCATACCCCGCTAAAGACCCAGCACACCAACTTCCCGGCACACACCCCATTCACACGCCCCTCCCTCTGGCCTGGCACCAGCCGCTCCCCAGCCCATGCCACCTCTCCAGCTGCTGCAAGGCTGTCTTCATGGTCTTCACTTGCTGGAAATGGCAGGACATGTCTGTGGCCAACACCATCTCAATGACCAGGGCCCGCAGCTCTCTGCATGGAGAGAAAAAGACAGGTGATGGGCCCTCCCAGTCCTGCCACTCAGGAAGACTGGGAGAAGACGTCTGGGCTGAGGGGTCTCTGAGGAGGCCTAGGGCTGGCTTCTGCTCACACAAACTCATCCTTGGTGAGGTTGATGAAAATGTTCATCTCATCGTCCTGCATCAGGCGGAAGACAGAGCTGATGTGGTGATTCTCCAGCACAGAGCGGTCATTGTACAGGATGGCGCATTCCGACCTGCAAAGAGGCAGGGTCGTCCTGTCAGGTCCTCGCTGAGGGGGGCCCTGGCAGCCTCCCCTCCCCCACCCGGCCCCTCACTTGGTCTGGATGTGGAAACTGTTGGTGGTGCCCGTGTGCTCATAGTCGTGAATGGCTGCGGCGAAGACGATGGCCAAGACCTCGATCTCCGACAGGCAGTGCTGGGGGAAAGAGACAGCATGAGGGACGCTCCCCACTAGGTTGTCTTCCAGTCTTCATGGCCAGCTCTTAGGCGAATGCATCCAGGTATCTTAGCTCCCGGCATGGCCAAGGACCCTCCTCCACCCCAGCCTGCGACAGTCCTAAGGCACTGTCCCCAGCACTGCCTGTGAAATTCTGGTATCCCTGGGAATTCCCTAGAGTGAGCTCATCCAATTTGACTCTGTAAAGGCTTTGGGATGCCAAAGAGGAAAGAAGCAGAAAGGGGGAAATGGAGCTGGAGGATGACCTAGACTCCCAACGCTGACACGGTGACCCTGAGCCACAGGAAAGCGCTCTCTGGGCACCTACCACCATCCCAGTGCGGAGCAGGAAGCAGTGCACCGTCTGGGTGACGTCGGCCGCATGGATCTGGTTGTGGTAAGGGTTCTTGTATTTCCCATAACCTGTCTCCAAGGCCTCCAGGAAACTCATCAAAAACACAGTGGGGATCTATGGTAGGAGGGAGAACATGGAGAAATATCCGGATCTGCAGGAATGGCAGCAACGAGCAAGTCCACTGTCCTTTAGAAGACAGTGTGACCTAGGGAGAGAACAGGGGCGACAGCCAGCTGAACCTGGGCTCACATCCTAGCTCTATCACCTGCTGGCTGTGTGACCTTGGGCAAGTCACGACCTTGGGCAAGTCACTGTGCCTCCCTGTGCCTTGGATACTTAACTGCAGAACGAAGATAATACCACCTACCTGGAATTTAATGAGATAAATACAAGGCACTTAGAACGTGCTCTCTAAAGAGTAGCTATAATTATTGTTATTTCCCTGGAGATTTGTAAGAAAAAGAAAGAAAGCTTCCCTCCTATCTTCCAACCATACAGCCCCATCCCCAAACCCAGGACCACAGGAAAAGGCTCAGAAGCAGGGGAAAGAAGATGATGGAGAGAGGACCCACCCATCCGGCAGATGTGGGTCACCCTCTGCTCAGAGAAACCTTTCCTGACCCCTCCCTAGTACACTCACTGCCATCCACCCAACAGTCCCACCGAACACACATCCACATGTCTAGCCCTGTCTCTATATATGCCCTGGGTGTCTCTGCCTCCTTCAAAAGGCTCAAGGCTCCCAGAGGGCGGAGCTGATGTCTTCACCTGTCCTAGGCTGGGAAGGGACCAAGGTTCTGCACTTTGGGAAGCTTCTATAGAGATGAGCTCTAAAGTGCAGAGACAGAAGACATGCCACTAGTCAGACCCCGCATCCCCCTCCCCTACCCCTGGAGGGCTGTGCCCCAAATTCAGGGAATTTTAAAGGACTGTTGCCATGACAACTGCCCTTGCTTTTGCGTTGCCATGACATCCCTGGAGGGAAGGGAAGGGAAAGAGAGGAGCAAGGAGGGGCTGGGTGCCCAGGAAGAGAATGCGGAGCTCAAGACAGAGGCTGTGCCCAGCAAACAAAAAGCCTGTGTGTGCCACACCCCACACACTCACACTCACACACACACACACTCACACACACTGACTGCCTCGCAGATGAGGTGGGCCAAACCCAGCCTGATGTCCCTTCCAGGTAGAGAGGCGGAGTTGGGGGAAGCTGGTGGCTGACGTATGTCTGTGACCAGTGCAGAGCTGGGAAAAGGACCCTGCTGTTCTCTGTCACAGGGACAGGGACAGCAGGACTGGAGGGAAGATCATGAAGCCACAGGACAGGCAGCAGGAAAGTGCTGAAGCACCATCTCAGCTGAGCACCACCACGGGAAAGTTTGGAAACTGTCTTGGGAATTGTTGGGAGGAGAGGACGGGAGAGTCAAGAAGAGGCTCACAGGGACGCGAGGACTGTGGTCTGTTACAGTGAGCAGGGCGAGGATGGCCACAGGGGCCTTCCAGAGCCCAGCTAGGAGGGGACCCTCCGCCTGGACTCCCTGGACTGCGCCTCTCTATGATGCTGTCTGGGAACACTGGCCTCCCCTCTGCCTCTAATCTCCACTGTGTACCCAGAAGCTGCCAGGAACCCCCACAGCAACTCTTCAACCCTCACCCCCACTTCTAATGTGGTTTTTCGATGTGGAAGTGCTGCCTCCTGGTCTTTGCTCCTCCCCAGTGCAGGACCTGGAGACCCCTCCTGCCCACACACCCCGCCAGCCCTGTCAAGAGCTGGTCCCCTCCACAAAAGCCCTCGCTGCAGAGGCCGGAGCTGGGGGGCAAGGGAAGGAAGGGGTAACCAAATGTGTCCCTCTCCCTGCCCAGGAAAAAAAGAAGACTCTAGTCCCAAAGGACACCGGCTGATAGCATCTGCACTCTAGGCCCCCAGAGTCACAGACAGGAGCTGAAAGGGAGGTGAGCACCGCCCAGATTTGCGGAGAGGGGAGCAAAATCCCAGGCCAGACAGGTACAGACCTGAAATCCCCCTAGGGAAGCAATCAGGAAGGTCAGAGGCTGGGACTACAGCCAAGGCCAGCAAGGGAGGCTGCCCTGGCACTGAGACTGAATGAGGGAGCCTGTGGAATCTACTCCTGAGACTCTTTCAGAACAGGAATGAGAGGAGTGGAGACTTCTGCCTGGAGACTGAGGCAGAATGCTGGCCAACCTTGAAGCGACTGATGAGGTTATGTCGAGTCAGCAACTCAAACACAATGGTCCTCAGGGCATGGTCATCTGCTGCCCGGTTCAAGGAAAAGACATCAAAGCACCAGAGGTCCAGGTTCTGTGGAGAAACAATGAACTAGGCAGACAAGCTCCCTTTGGGGAGTTTCCTTGCAGCAACAACACTTGAAGTTAGACTTCAAGGAGGACTTCACCAAGATTACAAAGAACTGGGAAGCAGGAAAACAAAGAGGTGGTAAAAGGGACCTCTTTCTTCCCTTATATCTCTCAGTATGGAAGAGGGGGAAAAGGCAAGCATTTGCCTCTGGGGTAGGCAAAAGTTGTCTTGAGGACTATGGAAACATATAAAAGGGGAGGTAAAAATCACATCATAAAGAGAGTCTGGAAGTCCCATGGCTATTCCAACCCCTAACCTTCTCTCTCACCTTGAGACAGTTGTGGACTGCAGTGGAGTAGGTGGGACCCACGGAGGTGTATGTTCTCCGGAACATCCTAAGAGAGAACAGTGAAAAGACAGAACAGGGAGAAACTGCTATAAGTCCAGGCAGTAGGGACCTGGCCAGGTGGAGCCCTGGGGACGAGCCACGAGCATGTGGGGTCTCAGGGCTGGTGGGCTCATAAAAGACCAGGACAGTGGGGAAAGAGGGGCAGAGCTAGAGGCAAAGGGAGGCTGGGTGTGGGCAAACCTCACCGCTCCACGAAGATCCCGGCCTGCACAGCATGCACGATGCTCCGGAACTTGGGCTTCTCCTCTGCTCGGCGACCTTTGGCTCGGGTCTGCTGGGTGAAAGTGGAAGCCAGCCAGTCCCGCACCTCGGAAGGCACAGCATCGGACCGCAGCTCCTGCAGCTCATCTTCTGTGTCCAAGATTTGCCTGCAGCCCAGAGGAGAGTCACAGAGGAGAGACAGCAGGTGCTGCCACAGCTACAGACCCTGCACCCAGCCACACGCCACGCTTAGTAATATGCCAGCTCACTCCGTCTCTGCCCACCCATTCCTTTCTTTTGCTACATCTTTTTATTTCGGTCTCACTGTCTGGCATCCCCAGCAGGGAAACGGCTCACTATGTGAGGTAGTAAGCGTCCCGACCACGGGAGTATCCAAGCAGGCCGTGGAATGCCATCTGCCAAGGGATGCCACAGACAGAGCAGCACAGCCCAAAGAAACAAACTGCAGGCTGCATAGATGAAGTTTTTAATTTTCTAGTAGCTGCATTAACAGGGTAAAAAGAAAACGGTGAAATTTGTTTTAGTGAAAAATTGGATTTGAGCTAATATCTTTAAAATAATATCACTTCAATGTGAATCCATAGGAAATGTATGAGGACGTGTTTTACAAGCTTTCTTCCAAGACTCTGAAAACCAGCATGTAACTTACATGTGGATCTCAATCATCCCTGCAGCATTTCAAGAGCTCAAGAGCCACACAGAATCAGCGGCTCCTATGCGGGCAGCATAGGTCTAGAGAAGTACTCCGCACTGGGAAGTTTAAGGTTGGATGAACTCTCCTCTTTCTCTCTCTGCCCCATAAATGCGAGGCAAGTGCTCTACTACTGAGTTACACCCTGAGCCCCCTCTTGGTTATCTTTGCCTCTATGTCTGCATCCATCTCTTCCTCTGGCTCTTCATCTCTCTCAAGAGTTCTTTCTATTTGCCTCCCCTTCTTGGACTCTGTCTTTGCTCTGCATTTTTTTTTTTTTTTTTTTTTTTTTTTTTTTTTTTTTTTTTGGTACCAGGGATTGAACCCAGGGGCACTTAACCACTGAGCCACATCCTCAGCCCTTTTTTTATATTTTATTTAGAGACAGGGTCTCGCTGGGTTTCTTAGGGTCTCACTAAGTTTGTGAAGCTGGCTTTGAACTCTCAGTCCTCCTGCCTCAGCCTCCCCAGCCGCAGGGATTTCAGGTGTGCGCCACCGCCTGGCCTTTTTCCTACTTTGTTACTCCCTGTCTCTGAAACACGTGTGCCTAGCTGCTAGCGCAGGTCTGGCTCACCGAGTCTCATCGATATAGACGGCCTCCAGCAGAGAAGCTGTGTACTCCAGGTTCTTCTTCAGCTCCTCAATGTTTACCTCCCCGTTCTCCAACTGCTTCACCATGTAGCGTAACCTGCAAGAGGGTATGGGGACAATTATCCTGCTCAGGCATTGCTACCTTGTCATGAAACTCTTTAATAGGACAGCTTTTATTGAAAGAGCTTCAGTCTTCTACAAGTTGGTAATAATTCTATCATCAATAATAACAACGGCTAATTTTTTCTTCTGGGGCTATGGCTACTGCCTGAAGTAGGTTTATTCCAAAAGTTTCATGCCAGGCTCTCCTGACTCTACCATTCCCATCCACCATCTGATCTCTGTTTCCTGCAAACTCTTCTTTAAACTGCCGGGGTCCCACAGAATTAGCCAGGAACAAGCCTCTGGGGTGATGTTTTGGGGATGATTTGTGTCATCATTTGAATAACCTAGAGCTATGTCACCCAGGAGAAAGGTCTGAGGATCCACAGCAACCAAAACAGCCCCCAGAATTCTTTCATTGTCTCTTGGTCAAGGCAGGAAGGGGGGGAACATGTCCACAGCCCCTCTGTCCCTGGCAGGGACGGCAAAGGCACAGAACAAAGACCAATCTGAATGCTTTCGCCTGGCCTCACTCCACGCAGGCAGAGCTAATGGATTATGATTCCAGAATCCATCAACCAGGACAAGGCTGTGTTAACCCCTGCCTCCCCGGTCGTGCATCAGCTCTGGCAGTTACTGTCCCCATCCACTCCCTGCCTGTGACCAGTCTAAGCCTCATCCAGGGCAAAAGTGGTGAGTTGAGGCCAGGGATCTCACATCCTGGATGCTTTCCCTAAAGGGACAATCCCATTTTGCACTTAGGAGTTCTGAGGGTCAGTGATTAACTGAGGGCCTTCTTAGAAGTCTGGCAAGTCCAGCCCAGGCTGTCACAAAGCAAATGAAGCTCTCTGATTCTAGATGGTGATTTTTAAAAAGTGACTAAACACTCTTTCCTCCCTCTTCTCCAAAACCCGCCCTGCCCCACCAAAAGCCCACACCAGGGTAAGATCACAGCCCTTACAATTCCCCACTGAGAGGGGGCTTCAGAAACCCAAGGTCACCCATGAGTCAGGGAAAGAGAATGAGTCAGGGACCAGAGGCTGAAATTAGCATCAGTTCCCAGGGATGCCGCGGGAGGGCTGAACAATGGCATTCCTGAACAGAAGCAGCTCTAGAATCCTGGGGTCTCCGCAGCTCTGGAATAGGGGTGCCCAAAATAGCCGGCACCAGCAAGTATTACAGGCCAGCTCTCACCTCAGGGCCTGGCAGTCCTGGCCATCCTGGCCGGCGTAAGAGCAAAGGGGACAGAAGGAAAGGCAGCAAACGGGGAGGGTAAAGGAGCCGGAGGGTGCTGCTGTGGCGGCAGGCCTGCGGATGTTTCCATGTGGGGACAGCGGGTATCTAACAAGAGGGAGGGCGGCTTTAGCAGGGCTCAGCCCCAGCTCAGCTTCATCAGGAGGAATGGATACAGAGGCTAGATAGACCTCACCCCAGCTTTCCCAGGCAAATGAGCCAGAAAGGAGCCACAAGGCCTTGTATCTTCAAAACACACCAGGGATCACAGAACAAAGAGGTACCCTGAGGACCCAGGCATAATCCAGGGCTTCCCTGTCCTCGTCAGTCCCAGTGGCCAGGGACCCTGGAATCTGGGGTCATACTCTCTAGAATGAAAGAAAGCCCTCTTCTCTGGGCTATGGTTCCATCTATCCCCCAGATTCCCTCTACCTTAATCTTGTAGGTCCCTCAGCTTTCAACAATCAAAAACTCTGTCCCCAGGGGTCAAGGCCCACCACCAAAGTTTTCCCCGGTTTCTTTCTCAATCCACCTCTGGAAACACACCTCCCAGCACAGGCTCTCAAGTGAACAGCCACGCCCACGGGTGTTCATTTGCGTGTATTTGCATAATCACTAACAATGCTGCCAGCTCTACATTTTAAAAAGAGCTTTCTCCTACATTATCTCATTTTATCCTCACAATGGGCCTATGAGCGAAGGAGGAGGGAAGGAATTGCTAGCCCTGTTTATAATGCAAAACCTTGGGCTCAGGAGGCTGCTTTGGCCCAGGGCAGCCAAGCAGCAAGCTGGAGGCTGGAACCCCAGGTTCAAAGCTGTCACTTCCTGCTGTGAGCCCTTGGGCAAGACTCTAACTCTTAATCAGTATTTATTAAAATGTGGCCTAGAGACTCCCCGTGGAATCACCTTGGGGACGTGTTAAAACTTAGATTCTAGACCTCACTGTGCACCTGCTGAACCAGGATGTGAGGGGATCATCCAGGGATATGCATTTCTAACTAATACTCCAGATGATTCCAATTTACTCTAGAGTTCAAGAACTTTCTTTAGGGCATCAATTTCCTCATCTGTAAAATGGTAAAAATGATAATGAAGCAGCCTCATAAGGCTATTAAGAGGATTAAACAAAATAATATATGTTAAAGACCTGGCACATGCAAAAGGTCTCCATAAATCTGATTTGAATAGAAATTAAGTGACCAGTATCATACTGACCCTGTGAGGCTCCCCTCCCACTCCCTTCAAACCCACAAAGAACTTGCCTGCTCTCCCCCAAGTCCAGTAGAGAAGAGAGAGTTGAGTTTGGATGGAGGTAGATAATTAGGAAGCTCCCTAACAGAAGACACAGATGATGATAATGACTATGATCTCTCCTTTATGATTAAAAGACTCATTTGTTTCTCTCAAGCACCTTATGAAGGCCACACAATTAATCAATCTCAGGTTGGCAAGGCCTCCAACTCACACTTAAAGACCTGCCTCTGTCCCCACACAATGAAGGGCAAAGCAAGTCAATTATGTACTTAGCTTGGACAGATGTGGAGAGCATTTCACCACAACTTCTCCAGCCTCAGCCAGTTGACCTTAAGTGTTCTTGTAGGTGGGACATTGGGAGGTGAGTCTCTGGATGACACTGACAGTGACTGATTTCTCTTGGTTGCCATACTCAAAGCATATAATATGTGTTTAGTGACAGCTCAACAAATAAATATCAGGGGAAGGGGACAGATTAATCAGATGTGAGGCCATCTCCCAGAGCTCACCATGGAAATCCCTGAGCCACAGTTTCTGAAACTCTAATGGGAAGCCTGGCGAGAAGAATGAAACTGCAGGTTGACTTTAACACACTGCTCCCCAAGTTCCTCCTTCCCTTGCCTCTAGATCCCATTCAGGGGCTCACGTACAGCTTCTGTTGAAATCTGAATCAAACACGATCCAGACACCAGAAGGAAGGAGGTAGGGAGGGAAGGAAAATTAAAGAATAAATTTGACAAGGGAGGAGTCCAAGAAGAGATCTGCACTCAGGCAGCTGAAAAGATCCAGGTGTTGACTGCACCCTCCTGAAGTCTCACACATACACATACACACACACACACACACACACACACATAAGCGTTCCAGTCAGCAGGGCTTGACTTAACCAAAATCCTTCAGAGTTAGGATCTTCCTAAACCTACCCAAAGTCCTCACCTCACTATCCTGCAGGAAGTCCTTCTTCCCACCCACATCAGTTTTAATTCAACCCTCTGGTTCAGGCCTCAGAGAATCTGGCAGGGACTGGTCCCCTTCCCTGTAGAACAAGATACTCGGCACTGTCCAGTTCTCATTCGGCCACAAGGAAAACAGAAAGCTTCCCACCTCCATCCCTACCCCTGATTCCCAACCACCATTTTTTTTTTTTCCTTTACCTTCAGTCCCTGCATGATGCAAAAAGCCTCAGATCCTCACCCCTGGAAGCCCAGCCTCTCCCAGCTCTAGGCAGCCAGCTGGAAGAGAAGACTCCTGGCAGTAAAAACCCCAACACCTCAGAAAAGCCCAGCTTCCCCAGCCCCCACCAGCTCATTTCTTTGGATCACCACAAGGCTGATGTTCTGGGGATTTCCAACGCCCTCTGCCACTACTTCCAGCACCCACCATTCTGAAAAGATCACCCACTGTGAGTAGGGGAGCTTAGGACAAGTCAGCCTCCAGCCAAAGGATTGGGAGTCAGAGGAAGAATTCTGTTTCCAGTTTGGGTTCTTAAGACAAAAGGAAGAAACTTCAAGGGGATGTGAGGTCCCCAGGCCGCTGAGGATCAGGAAAGAGAGAAAGAGGAGGAAACCCTGCTAAGTCACCTGCCATAGCCAGGAGGCAGTGATAAAAAAGGAAAGAGATGGAAATGGGAGGAGACTAAGGGGAAGGCAGGTAAATGGAGTAAAAGGTGGAGAAGTTGGTGCACACAGACACACAACTCATACGGGGACTCTCAGGTGTTGGTCCCTCCCCTCCACCAAACTATAACTGGTGGACCTACAAACAGCTTGTTCTTTCCTCCTCCCATCCCCTCCCCTCTCATCCCCAGTACCTACCTGAGGATGGGACCCTGGAGATGGCTCCTCTGAACAGATACAGGGTTTGCCATGGAATCGAAATTTCCTACTTTAGTGTATCAAAATGCTGACCCCTGGGACCCAGGGCCCCCACGAGGGTACAACTCCCTCTTGAGCCTCCAAGTTCCTCCTTCAGGTGGAACAGAACTCAACGACTGACCAGAAAGCACTTTAGGAGATGGGAGTAGAGGGGGCCCAACTAGAGGAAGAACTGAGTGAAGAAGCAGAGACTCAGCTTTACAGGAACTGGGTGAGAGGCCGCGGGAAAAGTTTCACATCTGAATCAGACGGAAAACAAGAATCTGTTGTCAGAAGAATCCCAGAAAGGACAGAAATAGCATAGTCCAGCCCCTTGTTCTGAGGAGGTGGGGCTCCTGTTTGGGAAGAAGGGGTTAGCAAGAGGCTTTAGGATACAGGGACAAGGAACTACCCTGAATCTGTCACAAAGAAGTCTGGAGTGGAAGGGGAAGGAGCCCTGAAAAAGCCCCCTAGAGGGGCTAAGCAGATTCAGCTCCCTCTCAGGGTCTTTTTCTGGGGCCATTCTACAAAATGAGTTCTAACCCACCTGAAAGAAGAGAAGCAAGACAGGAGAATGAACTTCCCAGAGAGAATTAGAAACTCTAGGGGTGAGGCTTGCTGAAACTTGGAGCCAGGTGATCCTGAGACAAGGTTT